GTAGCACTTGGTTAGTGATGTAATTACACCCTATTGTTTTATAATGGACTGTTATATGTTTATCACATATATAAATAAGATTGTACGGCTTTAGAAAATGATATCGTCGAAAAAGAAAATTTTCTTCGCTGAATTATCTCTTCTCTATGACGAGGTATTATTAACTCGACCTTTAAGTTAAGGTCATAGTTTAGTACGTTAACTTCCACTTGGCTGTTGAGTTGCACTCGATTTGACCTAACAGTTGATTCTACTTCTTAAGCTCAGTAACTATAAAAACTCAACTTCAGAGGAGAAAATTCAAAGATGAATATCACTTCCATCAAATTCTAAACATTTTAGTTGACTTATGTGGATATGGGCATGGTATCACTGCGTAGCAGTTTAAGTTGCCACTTCTCACACTAGCACATCAAAGTATTGAGATGAAGAACAGGGAAGTAAACACGAAAGTATTCAAAAGTCATAAAACATGACCAAGAAGAAGGATGGGAAGAAGAAGAAGGTAAGACAATAACAAAGTCCGGTGTGAAGATTAAAATGGAGAAAATGTGTGACAGCAGTTGCTCCACTGTATTCGACTCTGAGCCATATCACCTACAGCCCCCTAATCCTAATTTCAGATATCATTTGTATGTAGAACAATTACAGAATTCTGTAAACAGGTAACCATTAACAACTAAAATAGGCACAAAGACTTTAATAAGAAAATGTATTAAAGGTAAATTTCATATCATAACCAAAATGAAATCTAAATTTCAACAACATGATAACCAAAAGACAAACATTTGTGTATCTTCGTAAAGATTTGACCGGACATTTTCACAAATACTGAAAGCTGAGTGAAGAAGGCGATATTCGATATGAGTTACATTTGCATAAGTCTCACCATGTTTGAAGTAAATAACTCCAGCGTTTCGCACGGAAGCCTCGTTCGACCGTATTCAGAGAAATCATCCAAAATCACACTATCATACATAGGTATAAATAACAAGTCAATACAGTCAATCAATCATTATCAACATCAGACCAGGCATTACTATGTAACGGTCCGGGTTGCCACATCTCACGTCAGTACATCAAGTAGAAAGGTAGTGAGGTGAAGGATGAAGATAAGAGAATGCAGTCAAAAGAAATATAAAGTACGAGAAGAAAGGAAAGTGGAGCGACAAAATGGTGGGATTCGGTATAGTGTAGTTAAGATGAGAATAATGTGTGTATACATCCGCGCCACTAACATCGGTTCTGCATCGTCCTACATGGCTTAAACCAACAGTCAGAGACTTCATACGTTGGTGCCATGTTTTAGTCTGGCCACCTCGGCCCTTTTTCCAGCCTGGACCCACCTTAGCCAACATTGTGTGACGAGGCAATCGACGACTGGGCATACGTAGTACGTGTCCCAACCATCTCAGTCGATGAAGGTTCACAATCTCGTCAACTGATTTACCTCTACTCCCTAAAACTCTACACCTGACTTCTGCATTACTCACGTGGTGACACCCCAGAATACGTCCTATACTACGAAGGCAACGGAGGTCAAACACTTGAAGCCTTCTTATATCTTCCACTTTCGATGTCCATGTTTCACAGCCATACAGTAGAACAGACCGGACTGCTGTGCAGTACACGCAACCCTTAATAGACAAACGCGTATCACGGTGGTGCCACAGGTGGCGCAAATCGGCAAAAGCCAATCGAGCCTTTTGGATCCGTGCAGAGATTTCACCGACCACTGAGCCACCAGAGTTGATCCTACTTCCCACGTAAATGAAGTGGTCGACACACTCAACCACTTCACTCTCTATTGTTAGCTGTGGCACCGTTGAAGACCAATCCCGGAGCATAATTTGCATTTGGCTGATGAGAAACGTATCCCAAACATTCTCAAATTGCTACTCAAAGTGTTCAGAAGACTCTGCATCTTGTCAGCGTCTTCACTTAACAGGACTATGTCATCTGCATATTCTAGGTGTAACGAAAATTCTGTGACTAGGTCAACGTCTGTGTAGTCAGGTAACGAGAGGGAGACCTCCATAAGAATATCTATGATAAAATTGAATGAGAATGGAGATAGTGGACACCCTTGACGGACACCACTCGATGAGTATAGCTCCCTGGACAAACTGCCATAGGCTGTAACATGTCCACAAGTGTTCGAGTAGAGAGCTTTCAATAAGGTGATGTACTTACTAGGCACGCCTTTCAGTGAGAGACATTGCCAAAGGACTTCTCGATCAACGGAGTCAAATATAGTGTAGTTCATCTGATGATAGGATCACTTCTGGATTATGATTGGTTTTCATTATGATCATTAGGCATTAATTGTTCACCAATATATACGATGCATAAATGTGAGCCAGTATGTGTATATAGGCACTTTATTTCAGATATGAGCTATTCACAGGCGATTGGAATGTAGAATATGTACCTTCTGAAAGCACGAGGCATAAAATCATAAGAAAGTCGTTTTTGCGCATAGGTAAAAAAGAGAATGAACACAGACGAGGATGTCAAAGTCAGGATCCGAAAAGCAAGATAGGCTTTCACTAATCTGAAATCAGTGTGGAGATCTACTGCACTTAGCATAAAGAACAAGATCAGGATTTTCAACACTAATGTCAGTAAAGTCAGTGCTTCTATATGGTTCAGAAACTTGGCGCCTTAGGAAAAGCACTTCCAACAAACTACAGATATTCATCAACAGTTACCGCCTACGCTCACTCGATTCTGAAGATCAGATGACCAGAATAATAAGAATAAGCAACAAGGAACTCTGACTGGCAATGAACCAACCAAGAACTTATTGCCGAACAAATATGCAGAAGAAAGTGGAGATGGGTTGGGTATACACTGAGAAAACCATTCGGGGACATCACACACAAGACTCCCGAGTGGGATCAAAAGGGGAAACGACGAGTCGGGCGTCCGAAGCGAGGGTGACATGAAGGAGATAGTGTGAGGAAGAAATGAAAGCTTGTGGGCATTCGTGGAGCCAGGTTGAAAAGACTTCAGAAAATAGAGTGAAATGGCCACCTACCACTGAAGCCCTATGTTCCGTTGTGGTGTAAATTACTACACTATGATGAGGATCTGAGGGCAAAGTCCTACTGCTACTAGCTGGATGGGTTGTGACAGCAGTAAGGTGTTTGCAATAGAGGCGTGCTACCGAAGCCCTATGTCCCACTGAGAACCCAAGAGAAAAATAATAATGATAGTAATAATAATTCGCTTTACATGACGATGATCCAAGCAGTAGAAACGGGAATAGAAAACAAATAAAACAAAACATTGCTGTCAATGTTTGTTTGGTTTTCTTCATATCTTTTTATTATTCATCATTTTCCAGAGTACAGACATTGTCACTCCGTCAGGTCTATTCTGGCTGTTGGAATTGGACCATATAGGTAAGGGTTCAGTGGTAATTTGCATTTTACAAGACACACAACCTTTCTGAATAATTTTGGATTCATTCAAATCAACCTTGTGTCTCATTTCTATCGAATATAGTGCAAATTCTGATCTGCTCTCTACGTAAAGAAAGAACGGACAACAAAACTTGCCATCATTTCACCCTCACCAGTGAAAATTGCTATGAAGCAATAGGAACTCCATATTTTATTTTTTTCCATACGGTTTTGGATGGATATTTTGCCAAGTTGTATGTTGATGAATTGATAAAATTGACAACTGGTCGTAATGGGATACCTGACGAGTGCGTTTTCGGTTACAACGTCTAGGGGATAAAGAGAACCAAGGTGAAGTTCCTAGTTTCTCTTTCATAGACTGAGACATCTTGATGGTCTGGGCTTTGAATTCATTCGTTGCGGAACGTGTTTTGAAGTGTTTGTTTTCTCACAAAGACTGGAATCTAAGTGTTTTGTGGCCTTCCTCTCGTGGTCTGCAGAGTTCCTTCACTCCCTCCGGTTATGATGATTGTCTTTTCCTCGTCTTTTGTTGTTTTAAAGCAGACAGTTCATCTTCATTTATATTTCGATTGTTCAGTTTTTGATAGAATACTGTCTCGCAGCATCTGCTTTATTATTTATATGGTTTTGTACAGCTGGTTCAACTGTAAGCGCAATCTCAAACACAGATAGGCGTGACTTGTTTAGACTAAAATGAAAGCCATTCTGAAGGAGTCATAGCTCATGATTAGATAAATTCCGATTGGAAAGACTTACCACCGCTTTACTCATATCACGATTACTTGAATTTTCTATGTATATGTCTACGATAATGTAATTTTTGATTACCTCCCCCTGAAGAGGATAGAAGCAGATTTCCCTGCGAAACGTTGAAATTATTTACCTTAAATATGCTGAGATCCATACAAACACAACTTGTGATAAGCTAACACACACATACAAAGTAGGGCTCATAACTCACACATATAATCACCTGAAATAACACGAATTTACACAAATTTTGAAGTTTTAGAAGTCATCTGATAACGGGGGAAATCGCTAGGTATAATATCTGAGATCCACAGTTGATGGTGTATTTCCAATATACCAATCATGTCACAATTAAAACCTCTGGCATCCAGTTGGCTAGCCAAGAGATCTAACTTATGAATATTATGAAAATCAAGTGAAGTACGATGGAAAACGCATCAGAAGTCAGGTATCGTAACATGGTTTGTGAAGCGCTGGGCCCACCATTTGCCACTGCTCTGAATACTGTCACGACCTAGTTTTTCGTTCGACTTCAAACAACATACTTACACAATAAGACTTAAGTTAGGTAGCAATGCGCATTATTTCGAAAATAGCTTACTTGTGTCATGTATTCAGGATCAAGTATTCGAACATATCCATTAATTTCGCATATACGTAACCGTCGAAATGCCAACATGAGCTCTAATTTACTGCAAGGTAGACTACCTTCAACAGTTTCAAGATCCAAATAGTTTGTACGAGAACTTTCATTCTCTGATTCTGCTTCATCTTCAACAGGACCAAAGTAGATTGATGGTGATAGCATAAGTCTTAGCTGTTTCAAAGAAGGAGCCGAACACCGCTGAAATTCAAAATAGTTTTTTTTATAGCCTGAATTGGCGTAACGAAGACCAAGTTTTCTTGAGGACAGTCAGTTGAAGGTAGCCACCATTTAGAGGCTAAAAGAAGTGTATTCGAAGTTTCTGCTTCTATAACCGAAAAAGTCTTGTCACTTGTACAAGCGAAGACATGTCCTGTGTTGTTAGGCTTAGGTTCATCCTTCAAAGTTATAACACTGTTTTCTCCTCCATTCGTCAACTCACTAGCTAACCAATTCGGTACTTCAATCAATTTGTACTCTTCAGATAATAATGGACAATCGAATTTCACTGACTGAAATATCTTCTCAGTAAACGAACTATCCAGTTTGGCGCATTCAAGTAACTCCTTCATCGATTCATATATTCCTGAAACGGACATACTTAGAACCGATCTGAAACAAAACGGGCAGATGAATGGCAGCACAACGATAGATCTTGAGTACTGAAAAAGAATGCCAACTTTTCTAAGTTAAACATTTATCATCAGTCTCAATGTTTCGAAAATTCATCATAGTATTAATAAATTCAGTATGAAGTGTCCTTGACATTAACAGTGTGGTATTGTTGATATCCTGTAAAAGAAGGCAAAATTTTGACCATTAATTATAAGCATCAAACCTGTATCTCAGACACTAGCTTAGCTATAAAGCATAGTAGGCTTTAGAATGCTATTTGATACGGATTCATCATAATCATCAATACCAACAAAGGACTACGCATTACTGAGTAACGGTCCGAGTTGCCACACCACATATCAGTACATCAAGTAAAAAGGCAGTGAGGCGCAAGATGAAGATCAGAGGATGCAGTCAGAAGAAATACAAGGTACGAGAAGAGAGAAACGAAGAATGAGAAAATGGTGAGATTCGGTATGGTGTCGTTAAGATGAAGATAATGAGTGTATACATCCGCGCAACTAACATCGGTACTGAGCCATATCAGCCAGAGTCAAACACCTGATGCCTTATATCTTCCACCTTCGATGTCCATGTTTCACAGCCATACAGTAGAACAGACCGGACTGCTGTGCAGTACACGCAACCCTTAATAGACAAACGCGTATCACGGTGGTGCCACAGGTGGCGCAAATCGGCAAAAGCCAATCGAGCCTTTTGGATCCGTGCAGAGATTTCACCGACCACTGAGCCACCAGAGTTGATCCTACTTCCCACGTAAATGAAGTGGTCGACACACTCAACCACTTCACTCTCTATTGTTAGCTGTGGCACCGTTGAAGACCAATCCCGGAGCATAATTTGCATTTGGCTGATGAGAAACGTATCCCAAACATTCTCAAATTGCTACTCAAAGTGTTCAGAAGACTCTGCATCTTGTCAGCGTCTTCACTTAACAGGACTATGTCATCTGCATATTCTAGGTGTAACGAAAATTCTGTGATTAGGTCAACGTCTGTGTAGTCAGGTAACGAGAGGGAGACCTCCATAAGAATATCTATGATAAAATTGAATGAGAATGGAGATAGTGGACACCCTTGACGGACACCACTCGATGAGTATAGCTCCCTGGACAAACTGCCATAGGCTGTAACATGTCCACAAGTGTTCGAGTAGAGAGCTTTCAATAAGGTGATGTACTTACTAGGCACGCCTTTCAGTGAGAGACATTGCCAAAGGACTTCTCGATCAACGGAGTCGAATGCCGCCTTCAGGTCGAGAAATACACCTAGTGTCAGTAAGCGTGCCTATGATCTACAACCTGGGGCAGTGTGAATATTTGGTCGAAACAATCATACAATGCTACGCTACGCACTTACAAATAATGCCGATCAAGAGAAGAAGGAGGAATTCTACAGACAATTGCAATCAGTACTGGACAAGACCACACGCCAGTTGGCAATATCAAAATTGTAATGTGTGAGGTGACATGAATGTCAAACTGGGAGCAGGCAACACTGGAAGTGAATTTGTCATGGGTCGAGAAGTGCTCGATGAAATGATTGAGAGTGGAGAACGGTTTGTTGTTCTATTACCTTATATGCTTCAACTTAATCCGACCTAACATCCGTTCGCAATAAAAATCGTGTACAGTTTCAGCTCGGTTATTCAACCAATCAACCAGAAAACTCAAAGGTATCTGAAAGTAAGCATGTTCGTGTGCACCCAGCGAAGTTGAAATATATGATCGAATCAATTTTAAAATTACGATCAACGGTAAACTTTCAAAGTGGTGCATTTAATTCGTTCGATTTGTTTAGCGAATATTCATGAAAAACCTGTATATTTAGTCTATAAGATAACATATTTGTCTGTAGGTAATCTCTGGATCTTTGTTAGTATAATGACTGAACAAAGAGCAAACTTATAGGCTCGGTACAGTCTACTCTATCAAAACTATCATATTAGTATCAACTTTTAGTGTGTTTGATTTTGTAGTCGTTATAAATTTGTGTAAACTAATGACAAAATTAACCAATCCAGTTCCATTTACATTGAACTTTATCAAAACGATTTAATAAATATCATAAACACAGTGGATTTATCAATACAACAACTTCTTTGTTGAAACGTCTCTTATCAAAATGATACAAGGACTTCAACTTTTTATGTAAGTGTATTGTTTGTGTAGTGTACCCGTTCATTCTGTTTACAACTCTACAAACATGACTGAAAAACTGAATTTCTTAATCTTAGGGATGCTAAACTCATATGAACCGATGCTGGTAGTAGAATGAACTAAAGCTTTGTAGACATTGAACATTTGCGAGTATTTTTAATGTCAAAGATATCGATCCGAAATCAACGACATGCTAAATCATGAAAACTGACCAAACAGGTTGGAAACAATAGTAGGTTAATCCACCTTTATTTATAATTAAAGTAGTTGCTTTTGTGAATGTCTGTTTTCCCCTTTGAAATGTTCATTGCAGAGCATGTCACAGCTTATTTTGGTAACAAGTTTCAGTCCTTCAATCGACTACAACTTAAGTGTCGTGTGAAGATCTTGTAAATTATCAGTTCTCGAAAAAGTAAAGGGACTAGAAAGGGGAATAATTCCTTACGATCACCCTAAATGAGATGAGTCATCTTCCGTCAAAAAAGTTATTAGGAAAATGAGTCAGAGAATTTTGTAGGCATTCGGCAGCAGACGCCGACGAAGTATCTATCAGCAAATCACCATTCTTTTAGGTCACAAGATATGTTGCATGTGTAAAACAACAACTCACAAATGCTCTTGAGAAGTCTCACTTTATTATTGTAACCGTATTTCACTTCTTTGGTTCCGAAACTATCATAGAAACGGTCCCCAGGAGAAACAGGAAATTCCCCTTGGAGAAATTTACAAACCTCTGCTTTCAGACGCGATAGTAATTGATGCAGTAGTCCACATCAATAAATGTCTTTTTTTTAATCTACCATCAAAGTTCACTCTTTTTCTGAATGTAATCCAAAGAATAACCACTTCTCTTATTAACCCATCATGAAAATGACAATTTTCAAAATTTTGAAATGTGCAAAAAGCAGTCTTTTTTGATGAAATAATATATAGGGTGTTTTCATTGCGAAAATCCAAATACAGAATTAAATGAGCATATCGTAATCACAGTGTTTGAAATGATGTATCATCACTTTTCTCATTTGGCTTGTACATTCATTAAAATGGGTGAAGTAATTTCAACAGTTTTATATCTAGGTTCCTGGTCCTAGTAATAATAAATCTTTTGTCGGTTATGAATCACCTTAGGATAAGGAAAATATGATAAGGAGTACAGACTTTAACGTAAATGCTTGTTCACCAAGAGCAATAAGAAACAAACTTAGTGATGAATCCTACATTATGCTTTTTAGAATTATGATTATTAGATGAGGGTGTTAGGGAAATCATTTTTTGGTAATGACAATGGAATTCAGTCAGTCAAGTTTGTTATAAACAAGTTTTACAAACTCAGTCATCTCTTTGTTTGATAGTGTATTGATCAGAGAAATAGTTTAAAAGTTAATCATTATAAAATGAATTGAAGTGTTGGTTCGCGCTTCTATTTGGAAAACTTGAACTATTAGAACGGACTTCTTGCTGTAGTACAAACTGGTTATTAAACATTCTGACTTTCACGACCTAACTATTCAATCAATGTATTATCTCCATAATTCAGTTTTCTAAATACTTTGGCGGATGTAGGCTTATGTATATTGAAGTCAGATTCTTTGTAGCTTAAGTAAGAATCAAACTTACCATCTTTACATACAACTAACTAACATAGTTAAAGTCTGTACTTCCTTCTTCATCCTACTATTGGATCTTAATGCCTCAATGTGCATATTTTCACCGAAACACAAAGTCTACACATTCAGATTCATATGATAAAACATACTGTAGTATGTTATCAGGAATAAGTAGCACCCTCTTATTTAATGAAGGTAACTTGAGTAGGGCCTTGTTATTTCAGTAACTTAGTTTGCAGTATCGAATTGGTGGATTTTATAATGTACGAATTCTCGGTTAAAATAATTCGTTGGCGCTAAACGTAAAATAAGTTTTCAATAGTACGCCTACGTGTAATACAAAACTAACCTTTCATTGAGACAGATGTGTATGCATATTATCTTCGTCTTAATGGTGTTTGAAAAGAGCAGGAACAACAATTTTGTCTCTATTCAAGTTCATGAGGCGGAATGCTTGTACAAAATTAATCATCATGACTTTTCCCCTTTATTTGTATTATCTTATGACTTTCCAAGGCCTTTGGATTACATCTTTTCTCTATTTCTCTATCTTTCATCTTGTTGCTTTGTACCTTAATATGCTGATGTGAAGCGTGATAACCTGAACGACTAAGCAATAAAACCAAGTATGATGTTGATATCAACTGACTGACTGAATAAATGACTGATCTTTATAAGATGAACACCAAACGTCATATATCACAGGATAAACGACTTAAGTTCTTTTTGTCACCGCTCAAGTTTGAAGATGTGAAACACAGACGAAATTTTTATCGTATTCATCTTGAAGGTATTGTTTGGGTGTGGTGAAACCATTGAGCTAATAGTGTTGAGAGGAATTGCAGACTTACCGGTCAAGGTTTAACAGCTTAACTAGCTGACCTAGTCAGTTTACATTTCACTCATTCGAAGCAAATGCACAGTCCTACATCTGATATTGCCCAAGTCATAAGCGGTCAGGAAATAAACGAAACATTCTAGAGGCAAGATTTGTCAGAAATCCACGAAAAGTATGTAGGATAGACTATACTCCTGGCTTACAGCCTTCTCAATGCTAGAAACCAATGATTGATGAATCCGGATGACACAAAGACAAACAACACAACGAAACTGGAAAACATTTTTATTCAATCACATTTATCCACAAGAACGGTAATATCCCGCTTATACACTAGGTGATCACCCACTGGAAATTTAGTGGCAGCCAATGGAACCAATTTCTTGCAAAATTATGAATCATTTTATAAGTAATTGCAGGCATAAACTTGGTGGTGTATGCTTTTAATGAATCTCATAGGCACTGTAAAAAGTAGCACGCAAATAGTCAAAACATCAAGTAAAATATGTGCTACAAAATGTATTAAATCTATGACTTAATGTTATTTAACCTTTACATCCAGTTTATCTATATTTATTCAACAATGGCTTACAACAGACAGTCAAATCTATCTTAATCCGTCGATTCCTATCAAGGAAAGACTTGATGATCTAATATCGCGCCTAACTATTGAAGAAATAGTTGATCAGTTAGCAAACGGTGGAGGTGGACCAACATATGGACCTGGACCGGCCATACCAAGATTAAAAATCAAGCCGTATCAGTGGCGTACAAATCCAAATCAAGGACAATGCACTTCATTTGTTCATCAGATCAATCAGGCCGCCTCATTTGATGTACTCAATGTTTGGCAAATCGCCTTCGCCAGTGGATTAGAAATGAGAGCTAAATGGAATCAGTTTAGTAAACAAAATAATTATCATGTGAGTTTCTGTGAAATAACATCCTTTTAGTTTATTTTCAGGCACTCATCGGAATTTGCATATTATCAGTCTTGACTGCGACACCAAACCTCGCCTGGTTAACTAGTTCACTAGTTACTAGCCGGTCCTAAGCCCGGGTAAAGAGGGAAGTTTGGGCATAGGGCTAGCAACCCTACCCCCTAAAACAAATCTAACCGCTAAAGAAACTTCAAAGCACAAACAAAATATAAAAAATGAGAACAAAATTATTCCTCGCTGAAATCGGAGTGGCGAAATGACGTTGGTTGGTGAAAGCCTTCGGGAATCCAATTGGCCGATGTGTCTTCTCTCCTCTCAGTGAAAGCGAAAGTAAACGTGGGGACACGGAATGTCCGCACGATGTTTGAACCCAGTAAGGCAGCCCAGATTGCAAACTAGATGAGAAGGTATCACATTGTAGTGCTTTGGATTTGCGAAAGTAGATGGAATGGGAGTGGAGTCTCCAAACTGTCAACTTGAGAGTCAATAATCTACTCCGATATTGTCACCCAGACGACAACCACGAGCATAGCACACTGAGTTATGGATTGGCTATCATGATGTCCCCAACAACATCAAAGGCTCTCATGCAGTGGGAACCAATCTCCTACAGGATCATGGCAGTAAGATTCAACTCAACAGGAAGGAAGGTCACAATCATACAATGCTATGCACCCACAAATAATACAGAGCAAGAGAAAAAGGAGGAATTCTACAGACAACTTCAATCAACACTGGACAAGACACCACTCAAGTTGGCGATATCAAAATTCTAATGGGCGACATGAATGCCAAACTGGGAGGGGATAACACAGGAAGAGAACTAATTGATCATGTGTCGAGAAGCACTCGGTGAGGTGATGAACGAGAATGGAGAATTGTTTGCACAATTCTGTGCATTCAACGATTTGGTGATTGGAGGCAGTGTGTCCAGGCACAAGGATATCCACAAAGCGACATGGATTTCACCAGATACAAGGACATACTAAAAATCAAATCGACTTTATCTCAATCTGGAGAAAATGGAGACGCAGTCTACTTGACACAAGGTCAAGAAGAGGAGCAGATGTAGGTTCACACCACTCACTGTCTAGTGCAAGGAACCTACCCTCCAAATCAAGTTAAAAGCCTTCAACGAAGCTGGTAATAGACCTCAATTCAAGTACAACACTCGGAAACTGAAGGATGAAACTACAAAGGAGATCTTCACGTCAGCCATCAAGACAAAATGAGAAATATCAAGGAACATCCCTGAAGAAACCTGTGTGGAAGAACACTGGAATTCTTTGAAAGAGGTGTGGAAAGAAACCTGCACAACAGTATTAGGAAGGAAGAAGAAAGAAGACAAGGAATGGATCTCGACGGATACCAGGAAGCTGATAGAGGAGAGGAGGATGGTGAAGCAGAAGATAAACCAGTGCAAGGATGCTCAACGACAAGAGGAACTAAGCACAATGTACAAAACACTGAACAAAGAAGTGAAGAAGAGTGCACGGAAAGACAAATGACACTTCTACGAAACACTGGCAAGTGAAGCAGAACAGGCTGCAGGTAAGAGAGACCTGACGACATTGTATCAAATAACCAGGTTGCTATCAGGGAAGAGATCAAATCAGATGAAACCAATAAAGATGAAGAAGGAAATTTAATTATGAAAGAAGAGAAACGGGGGAAACAATGGGCCGACCACTTCAAGAAGCTCTTGAATGGACCACCACCTGCACTTCGTCCAGAAATACCACCTGCTGTCCAGCCACTGAATTACAAGTTAACATTAATCCCCCAACGAAAATGGAAGTCCTGAACGCCATAAAGCTACTGAAATGTGGGACAGCAGCAGGACAAGACGGGATCCCGCCAGAAGCACTGAGAACAGACGCAGAGACAACAGCGGCGGACATGCTCACACCACTATTGCAGAAGGTGTGGAAGGAAGAGAAGGTACCTGGTGATTGGAAGAAGGACTACCTTGTCAAAATGCCGAAGAAGGGAGACCTCAGTGTTTGCAAGAACTGGCGAGGAATCACTCTCCTGTCCACCCATAGCAAGCAAAATATTAAGCCGCATCATCCTGGAGAGGCTTAAAGATGCACTGGATTCAAAACTACGACCGAAACAGGCTGACTTGCTGGCTGGATTCAGGAAGTACAAATCATGTGCAGACCAAATTGCAACGCTTCGCATCATCATAGAACAGAGTATAGAAGGGTAGTCAACTCTACACCTCAACTTTATCGACTTTGAGAAGGCCTTTGACAGTGTCGACCGAGAGGTAATTTGGAAACTGCTTCAATACTACGGAGCACCGCAAACCTTTATCCGCCTCATTCAACAACTATATGAAGATGCCACATGCCAAGTAATTCACAATGGGAAGCTCAGCTCAAGGGTGCTTTTGAAGTGAAGACAGGAGTGAAACAAGGTTGCCTACTATCCCCCATGATATTCCTGATTGTGGTGGACTGGATCATGCAGCAAACAGTGGGTAGCGAGAAGAGGGGGATACACTGGACGGCGGAAAAGAACCTAGGAGATTTGGATTTCGCCTATGACTTGTGCCTGATGTCACATAAACTTGAAGATCTACAGGCAAAAACTAACAGGTTGATAGAAGAGGCAGCTAAGACAGGACTTCAGGTGAATATAGAGAAGACAGAGGTGATGAAGATACCGCACCACCACCACCAACAACAAACTCCAATCTCCATCAATGGGAGAAACTTAAAGGAAGTAACCTCCTTCACTTATCTAGGAAGCACTGTTTCAACTACAGGCGGCACAGGCACAGACGAGGATGTCAAAGTCCGAATCGGAAAAGCAAGACAGGTGTTCATTAGCCTGAAACCAGTGTGGAGATCTTCTGCACTCAGCATGTGGAACAAGATACGGATTTTCAACACCAACGTCAAGTCAGTGCTTCTGTATGGTTCAGAGACTTGGCGCGTTACGAAAGGCATTTTCAATAAACTACAGACATTCATCAACAACTACTTACGCTCGCTACTGAAGATCAGATGGCCAGGAAGAATAAGCAACAAGGAACTGTGGCTGGTGACGAACCAGCCAAGAACCTATCACCCAACAAATATGCAGGAGGAAGTGGAGATGGATTGGACATGCACTGAGAAGGCCGACGGAGGACATCACGCGTCAGGCCCTTGAGTGGAATCCCCATGGGAAGCGACGAGTTGGACGTCCGAGGTGAGGGTGACATGGAGGAGGTTGTGCGAGGAGGAAATGAGAGCTTGTGGGCTGTCGTGGGACCAGGTTCAAAAGATCTCAGAGAACAGAGGTCACTGGAGACGTGCTACTGAAGCCTTATGTTCCACTAGGAACCCAAGGGACTAATAAATAAAATTAAACTAAGTCTCGACTACTTCATACATTAAATTATCTGCGTATGACTTTTAAACACATTTTTTGGAACTGACCTGCAAATTATAGTGTAAAATAAAATGCGTATGGAACCAAAGCATTTCATCATACGTGAACGACTAGTGCAGTGATATCTTGCCGCTAATCGTATTTATGAGGCAACAAAAATGTCGTTGGTTTATTGAAGGAAATGTTCTATGAAATTGCAAACAGTTATGTTGTATATAATACTAGACAGTCCTAAATGTTTTAGCAAGTGTTCAAACTATTATGGAGTGGAAGAAATTAGGAACAAATGGATTAAGCTACAACTAACCTAGGTTACAACATATTATCAATTTATCTACCATAATATTACACCCTGATCATAATTCTAACCCTCTAAGCAACATTCTATTCAACGATCAAATAAATATTTTTTCTTTACGAGTTAACAGAAAATATTAATACTTTAAACGTAAATGATCAAACTACTAACGCTGACGCCGTTTCAGTTTCTATGTTTTAATTCGTAAACTTAGATAGGTATGTGTGACTATAGCTATCTAGCTTATAGGAGAATAGTTGTATTTGTATAAAGTAACAAATTCTGCATAAATTCGCCTGTAGTAAGAACTAACCGTTTTTCTTCAGGTTCTACAGTTATATGTATATATTGAAGAATGACACGTCAGCAATATAGAGATTCCATACTGCAGATAACCCTTCTTCCCTATAATCTGAAATAATTTTAACGAATCCTCTTGACCTATTTTGTCTTTCTTAGCTCATTTTCTCCAGTTGCGATAAACAGCTTCCTGTTGCCTGACTAAACTGTCACCTTATAGTATTACACAAGCCGCAAAATCACTTAGATAATCAATATTTTAGATTGAATCTCGGTGATAATTGACTGTATCGAAAAAACCCCACACGACTTTTCTCAATTGACTTCCTCAACTGTATAGTATTATTAACAAACTGATAAGTGGAATCTCTATATTGCTTCAATATATATATATATATATATATATATATATATATATATATATATATATATATATATATATATATAACTGTAGAACCTGAAGAAGGTTTTAAAAACAATATTTTTGTTCACTCAAATTGCTTTTGAATTTTAATAAGAACTTTTAATGATATAAAAGTTTTTCACGAAGCTTACACACATCAGAAATCAGAGAGTCATCAACTAAAATCTGACCAATGGAATCAAGTAACGCAGTACTTCAATTCTGCCGGTTATGCTTCATCGCTTTGTTTACCGTTCTCTGAAATTAAGTGAATTTCGGATTGCCATTTAGAGTTTTTATTTTACACATGAAGATGAACATTTAAGAGTAGAATAACTGTTTGAAACTAAGAGCTGACTTGGTTAATATTAATTTGCATTCCACACACAAAAAAGATGAAAGTGGCTACATACCTTTATACCAAAGCACAAAAAGATCGAAATGGATGTTTAGATTATATGATTACCATGTGATCCGAATACTAGAGCAAAATAACTCAAACTGCAACCTGTCTGAACAAACAGCATGAGACAACGGCTTTAAGAATGATAACTTTATGAGGCAAGGTATTTAATAAACAAAATTTTCAAAAGTCTG